TTTCCTGCTCTTTTTACTTATTTATTTTCTCTTCTTGTTATTTGAGCTCTGTGGGGGAGGGGGGGTTCTAGGTCCCTATCTCTCCCCCTGGTATTCTATTTTCTCTTCTATTTATCTATCTATACCCAATTTTTCTCCCTATCTTCCTTTTTTTCTCTCCTCTTCGCCCCCTCGACTCCCCTCCTCTTAGTCATCCCCTGTTCCCACCTTTTCCTTTCGCTTCCCCCGCTTCCCCTTCCTTTCTCCCCTTCACCCTCCGATTCCCGTATCCTTCTTAACATCCTTCGTGCCCCCTCGTGTCACCTTAGCCCCCTGTCCCCCTCGGCGGTCACACCCGACAGCCCATTGCCACTCTCTGCTTCCTTCGCCTCGAGTTACATCCGAGGGCTACGTCTAAAGGCCTCGGTATCTCGGTTTAATTCTCGACAAAGTGCTTCAATTATTGAGGAGCTAGTTGGGCAGTTATTGTTAAGGAACGGGATCTGCTTTCCTTATTTTAGTCTCCTTAATTCCGTGTCTTATTTTGTCATTTCATTCTCGTTTATGCTGAAGTTGTGATTTACGTTCAACCTCGAGAAGCGAAGATGAAATTTATCACAATGGATACGTCCTCAGCGAACAAAGTGCTTCAGTTATTGAGGAGCTAGTTGGGCAGTTATTGTCAAGGAACGGGATCTGCTTTCCTTATTTTAGTCTCCTTAATTCCGTGTCTTATTTTGTCATTTCGTTCTCGTTTATGCTGAAGATGTGATTTACGTTCAACCTCGAGAAGTGAAAATTGAAATTTATCACAATGGATACGTCCTCAGCGTAAATTCACCTCGAAACACGTAACGAGAGTGATCCTGCAGTTCGAACCACTATGTGAAGCAGTATCCGAACCTTCCGTATCCGCATGAGCTGCCTTCGGTTATCATAACATAACCAATTCTGCTTATAAAAGAGGATCGCAGCAACGTCTATCACGAACCATGCAGTGAGAGAAACGAAAATAGCGACTGAAAATTGCCCAGAAATGTGCAGTGATCACAAACTCATGACGTGTATCGAGTATACCTTTTGAACTGAGATTCCTTTGAAGCAGAATAAAATTAAGTGTTCGAATTCCAGTGCATAAGGCCTCCGCTGATATTACTCCAAGCTCATTATTAAAAACATTCCGATTAAAATGGCGCTGCGCTAATTGCTATTCTTGTATTTCTTCAACGGCGTGTTGTCCTTTGAGACAAAAGCATTGCGTTCGTGCTGCACAATGGAAGCTTTATGAATGTCTATCGTTGTTGCGAAATGGAAGGCTAATTATTCTGCTTCAGCTGGAGAGAGAGCAAGGATTTCTCTCTAACGACACAGGATGAAATGTCAACACTAGTGCAGGGGCACACGCAAGCACGTTTGCGTCACATGTGTATGTATGTATGTTTATATATGTACATGTACGTACACAACTGTACATGATATTGTCATCTGCATTCAGACTGCACAATGTGCCTTTTTTCGCCTTGTTTTAAGAAACAAACACGTATATCAAGTGCAGTGTGAATACCATTTCGTTTTCACTATTCTGAAACTTCCTGTGTGGATTTTGGTTTTCGGTGCGAAACTCATATCAATCTATCTATCTATCTATCTATATGTGTGTGTGTTGTGTGTGTGTGTGTAATGTGTATGTGTGTGTGTGTGTGTGTGTGTGTGTGTGTGTGTGTGTGTGTGTGTGTGTGCGTGTGTGTGTGTGTGTGTTTGTGTGTGTGTTGTGTGTATGTGTGTGTGTGTGTGTGTGTGTGTGTGTGTGTGTGTGTGTGTGTGTGTGTGTGTGTATATATATATATATATGTATTGTATATTATATGTATGTATGTATGTATATATGCAGATGCATTACTCTTCTAAACGAGAGGAATTATCATTATTCATCATGACCATCAGCCTAACATAAGTAAATTAAACTAACATAAATTTCGAAGACAAAACCCACCCCTGACGAGTGGCAACACTGCGCTGTCTGCAAAAGTATTATTGACTAATAAATTCAACGTCGGCTGTCCCAGATTAATTAGTTTTCCAATTACATGCAAAATTCATTATATACAAATTCATAAACAATAATGCACATTTTTCCTTTGTGGGAGTAATCATTTGGGAGCCGAAATTCCAGCGCAGTTGACAAGTGATCGGCCAACCGCGCTGTCAACCGTGGGACGCGCTGTGACGGGAGACAAGATGTGCTGCTGCTGCGGTGGTGGTGCCTGTGATGGGGCGCTGGCTTTGGGCGCGTCTGGTTTGCTGTGTGTGTGTCTGTCTCTCTTGCTATCTCTTTTTCTGTCTCTCTGTTTCTCTTTCTCTCTGTCTTTCTCTTCTTCCTTCTCCTCGCTCTCTCTCTTCTCTCGCTACGTCTTTCTCTCTCTCTCTCTCTCTCTGTCTGTCTCTCTCTATCTATCTATCTATCTATCTATCTATCTCTCTTTCTCTCTCTCTCCTCTCTTTCTTTCCTCTCTCATTCCCTCTCTCTCTCTCGCTACTCTTTCTCTCTGCCTCTTCTCTCTCTCTCTCTCTCTCTCTCTCTCTCTCTCTCTCTCTCTATCTCTCTCTCTCTCTCTCTCTCTCTCTCTCTCTCTCTCTTCTCTCTCTCTCTCTCCTCTCTCTCGTCCGCCTCTCTCTCTCTCTCTCTCTCTCTCTCTCTCTCTCTCTCCTCTCTCTCTCTCTCTCTCTCTCTCTCTCTCTCTTTCCTCTTCCATTATCTCTCTCAGACACACACATAAACAATTTCTCCCTTACTCCTCTCCCTTTTCCCCCCTCTCTCTCACTTCTCTCTTCTCACTCTCACTCTCTCACTCTCTCTCTCTCTTCTCTCTCTTCTCTCTCTCTCTCTCTCTCGTCTCTCTCGTCTCTCTCTCTCTCTCTCTCTCTCTCTCTCTTTCTCTCTTCTCTTTTCTCTCTCTCTCTCTATTTCTCTCTCTCTCTCTCTCTCTCTCTCTCTCTCTCTCTCTCTCTCTCTCTCTCTCTCTCTCTTCTCTCTCTCTCTCTCTCCTCTCTCTCCTCTCTCTCTCTTCTCTATCTATCTATCTCTATCTCTATCTCTCTCTCTCTATCTCTCTCTATCTCCTCTCACTCTCTATCTCTCTATCTCTCTCTATCTCTCTCTCTCTCTCTCTCTCTCTCTCTCTCTCTCTCTCTCTCTCTCTCTCTCTCTATCTCTATCTCTCTCTCTCTCTCTCTCTCTCTCTCTCTCTCTCTCTCTCTCTCTCTCTCTGTCTTCTACACACACAAAAAGAGATCAATCCCCCCATTCACTTCCAGAGGTGTCAAAAGAGGGGAGTCAGGAACACCCACAAGGAAGCGAGGGGCAGGCGGGCAGGCAGAGCAAGCGGGCAGAAGTCGCCGCCGCCGCCACCGCCACCCAAGCATCACCTCGGGGCCTCTTGCACCAGATGCCGCCCTTCGGTAACCCGAGCCGCACCTCCCACGTCTTTAATGATACCTCCAACCACACCTTCTCCACGAAGAACTAATCACATCGTCTCTGCTGCGGGGAGGTTGACGGGCTTCGCGACGAGGCTGTCCACGGGAGGTCCGTCGCTGCCAGACTGACGGCCTCGACTTTGGTGGTGAACGAACTTCCTTGTCGGGGCGGCCGAGTGCAACTTGAGAGGCTCGTAACATCTATGGAAGTCCTATGAACCGGGGCGTCGCGGCGTGAATGCAGCGGCGGCTTTTCCTGCTTTGGCGTCTTTGTTTGGTGCGGACAGGTGGACCAGGGAGATCGAAGCAAAAGAAAAAACGAAATTTAAAAAAATACGTTCTGAATTTTGTTGGTTTGTATAAACAGGTAGATAGATATAAAATACAGATGTATATGTGTTTCAAGCGTAAAACAGGTAGATATACAATACAGTATTGTATATGTGTTTTCAACGTAAATGTCTCCTGTAAAGTCGCGTTCGATGTATGAAACTTGCGAAAGGTCCCCTGAGACGTGAGAAAATTAATAGTTTTTTTAAGGACAGGCCGCTCTTGTTATAACTTGTTCACCATCGCTGTTATATTACTATAAAATCATATTTTCTTATAATCTTTTGTGCAAAAAATATCAAATTATATGTTCATTGTTCAACATCTGTTATATAACTATAAAAGTCCATATTTCTTATAATCTTTTGTGCATATTGCCTCCAAATATGTATGCATATGTATGTGTGTATGCATACTTATTTTTTTCTGATCTCACACATACGTAAACACTTCTCAATCAAATTTACTGATCGCATTTTCTCTATATATGTATGAAGAGAACTAGACCGATATATATCTTCCCCTAACCGTACGTGCGCATACACTATACACATTTTGGTCTCACGGTGTATGAACATAAAAGTCTTTGTACCTACGGTTCTGCACGTGTACGTGGATAGACAGACAGATAGTACGCAACGTGGATAGAACAGATATAACGTGGATAAGACAGACAGTTATACGCAACGTGGATAAGACAGACAGATATCGCAACGTGGATAGACCAGAACATAGACCACAGATACGCAACGTGGATAGACAGACAGATATAGACGCAACGTGGATAGACAGACAGATATAGACGCAACGTGGATAGACAGACAGATATACGCAACGTGGATAAGACAGACAGATATACGCAACGTGGATAGACAGACAGATATAGCAACGTGGATAGACAGACAGATATACGCAACGTGGATAGACAGACAGATATACGCAACGTGGATAGACAGACAGATATACGCAACGTGGATAGACAGACACGCAACGTGGATAGAACAGACAGATATACGCAACGTGGATAGACAGACCAGATATACGCAACGTGGATAGACAGACAGATATACGCAACGTAGACAGACAGATATACGCAACGTGGATAGACAGACAGATATACGCAACGTGGATAGACAGACAGATATACGCAACGTGGATAGACAGACAGATATACGCAACGTGGATAGACAGACAGATAACGCACAGTGAACTAGATGCGCCCAACGTTGGTGGCGCCCATGGAGACCCTGCCCCCCTCCTACCGCCCTACACCCCTACTACCGCCTCCCACCGGCCTACCACTAACCCTCCCAACCACCCCTCCGCCACCTGATACAGGAGTCCACCTGCACTTAATCAACGTGCACGGTAACCCACACCTTGGTATGTCACGGTGTCACGGGTGATCGAGGGAGAGGGTGGAGGAAGAGGAAGAGGCAGATGAAAGAGGGACGAAGGAGGAAGATGAGAGAGAAAGACGTGGGGGAAGAGAACAGAAAAGAAAGATATAGATGAGGAGGAAAAAGAGAGAGAGAAAAAAAGCGAGGGAAAGTACAGAACAACAAAAGGATAAAGAGTAAATGAGAAAGGGAGAGAAAAGCGGTGGGGGAAGAGAATAGAAAAAAAGATTGAGATAATTAGGAAAAAGAAAGAGAGAAAAACAAGAGCAAAGGAAAGTACAAACAACAAAAAATAATAAAGAGTAAATGAGAAAGGGAAGGACGAGAAAGAGGAATCAGAGAAGGAAATTAGCATAAGAGATATGCGAACATGAATAGCAAATTACAAGAGGATAGTCAATGTGAAGAAGCGGATCGGAAGAGAAGGGGAGAAGAGAGGCAAAGAAAACGGAGCAACAGGAAGAGAAAACGAAAGAAGAAGAAAAAAATATTTACAAACAACAACCCAAGAATGAATATGTATATATGTTAAAGTAGAATAAATTAAAAGAATAAAAAAAAAACAACAGGCGTGAGATAAATAAAAAAAACTAAAAAAACGACTGGTGTAAAATTTCAAGCAAATGATATTTATACGAAAACGGGATAAAGTAGACAGATAGAGAAAAAAAAATATTAAAAGACGACAGGTGTGAAATTTCAAGCAAATCATATTTATACGAAAAAAGGGAGATTATAAGCATGTAATATATATATTTCTGAAAAGGGTGAATACCTCGAGCTGCTCCTTCACGTGACGACAACTGACTGACACACAAGGATGTTTGTATTGTTATGAAATCCTATTTGCATAAAATTTAAACTTTCATGATAGTTAGAGGACGTACTAGTAATATATCGATTAAAACAAAAAAAAAAATGAAAATAAAGAATACGTTCTGAATTTTGTTTGTTTCCATAATACGTTTTTTTTTAAGATTCTTTAGTGGAAAATTATTGGTGTATTTCCTATGATCGTTTTATTTACGTATAATTTAAGATAAAAGCTAGGAGGGAAAGAGAAGATAAGGAGATAGAAGAATACTGAAGAGAGAAATAGACAGACAGAGATAAAGATAGATACACATAGATAGAAAGAGATAACTAGATAGATAGATAGATGGGTCTAGAGTAAGGGGGGCAGAGAGTGAGAAAGAAATGACAAGAGGTAAGATAGTGAGAGNTTAAAAAAAGGAGGGGTTTTTTTATGGAGGGAGAATGAGAGAAGAAAAAGGAGAAGGAGAGAGAGAGAGAAAGAGGAGAAGAGAGAAGGAAGAGAGGAGGGACGAGAGAGAGAGAGAGAGAAAGAGAGAGAAGAGAGAGAGAGGGAGGAGAAGAGAAGAGAAAGGAGAGAGACAGAGAGAGGGGAAGATAAGAGAATAGAAAAGATAGAGAGAAGAGAGACCAAGAAGAGAGAGAGCGAAGAGAGAGAAGAAGAGAGAGAGAGGAGAGAAGGAGAGAGAGAGAAGAGAGAGAGAGAGAGAGAGAGAGAGATAGAGAGAGAGAGAGAGAGAGAGAGAGAGAGAGAGAGAGAGAGGAGAGAGAGAGAAGAGAGAGAAGAGAGAGAGAGAGAGAGAGAGAGAAAAAGAAGGTTAGAAGTGAGGGCGTTTGAGGGAGGGGGAGGGGGGAAGAAAAGGGGGGGAGGGAAACGTGAATGGTGGGGGATGGAAGTAGAAAAGGGGGATTTGTAGAAATGCGGATGAGGGAGAAGGAAGAAGGGAGAAAAGGTAGACAAAACAGATACAGGAGTGAGGGAGAGGGAGAAGGAAGGACGAAAGAAGCGTAGGAGTGAGGGTGGGGAGAAGGGAGGAAGGGAGAAAAGGGAGAAAGGTGAGGGAGAAGGGGGGCGAAAGAAGCGTAAGGAGTGAGGGTGAGGAAGAAGGAGGAAGGGAGAAAAGGGAGAAAGGTGAGGGACGAAAGAAGTGTAGGAGTGAGGGTGAGGGAGAAGGGGAAGGGAGAAAGGGAGAAAGGTGAGGGAGAAGGGGGGGCGAAAGAAGTGTACGAGTGAGGGTGAGGGAGAAGGAGGAAGGAGGAAAAGGGAGAAAGGTGAGGGAGAAGGGGGGACGAAAAAGAGTGTTGAGGTGGGGAGAAAGGAAGGAGAAGGGAGAGGGTGAGAGGGAAAGTCATAACGAGTGAGGTATAGAAATGAGGGGATGAGTGCCCTGGATGGAGGCGGGGAGGTGGGGGGGAGTGGGGGAGAGCGAAAGAACTGCAAGAGTAAGGAAAGGAGTAAACAAGACAGGATAGGGTGGTGGGGTGGCGGGGGTGGCGGGATGGAGGAGGTGGCGTGGGGGAGGAGCGAAGGAGTTATTAGGATGTCCTAAGAACGAGGATAAAACGGGGAGGGAAGGGCGGGGGGGAGGTAGGTCGGTTGAATCGGATGTCGAGGCGCGGGGGGGCCGGGGGGTAACGGGTGGCAGGATTCAGGGGGAGAGGAGGGGGGGGCATGGTGGAAGTGGGGAGGGAGAGGGGGGAGGGCATCGCCGCCCTCGAGGTCACCACCGCAGCCGGCGTGAGGGCTATTTACTACGCAACCTGGGGCTACCTGCCTACTCGTACTCCTGGGCTGCTCTTGCCTCTACTCCTCTCCCCCCCTTTTGCCCTGCCTCCCCGTCTCTCGTTCTCTTTGCTCTCTCTCTCTCTCTCTCTCTCTCTCTCTCTCTCTCTCTCTCTCTCTCTCTCTCTCTCTCTCTCTCTCTCTTCTCTCTCTCTCTCTCTCTCTCTCTTCTCGCTCTCTCTCTCTCTCTCTTCTCTCTTCTCTCTCTCTCTCTCTCTCTCTCTCTCTCTCTCTCTCTCTCTCTCACTCTCCTCTCTCTCTCTCTCTCTCTCTCTCTCTCTCTCTCTCTCTCTCTCTCTCTCTCTCTCTCTCTCTCTCTCTCTGTGTGTGTGTGTTTCGCTCTCTCTTTCTCTCTTCTGTCTCTCTCTCTCTTATCTATCTATCTATCTCTCTTTCTCTCTCTCTCTCTCTCTCTCTCTCTCTCTCTCTCTCTCTCTCTCTCTGTGTGTGTGTGTTTCGTCTCTCTTTCTCTTCTGTCTGTCTCTCTCTCTCTCTATCTATCTATCTCTATCTCTTTCTTTCTCTCTTCTCTCTCTCTCTCTCTCTCTCTCTCTCTCTCTCTCTCTCTTCTCTCTCTCTCTCTCTCTCTCTCTCTCTCTCTCTCTCTCGCGGGATATCATCTCTTACCTCTCTCTTAGTCTTTATCTTGTGCTCACCTTTTTCTCTTTCTTTCTCCTTCTCTTTCACTATTCCTTCATTCTCCCTTTCTCGGGATCAACATCATCTTCTTCCCCATCTCTGCCTCTGTCACATTTTTTTCTCTATCTCTCTATCTATCTCCATCATCTTCCCTCTCTCGCTCTTTATATATATATATATATATATATATATATATATATATATATATATATATATATATATATATATATATATATATATATATATATATATATTCAACTCCAACTCCATCTTTTCTTCATTTCTATCTCTATCTCTGCCATCATCTCCATCTCTGTCTTGGTCTCCACCGTCTTCTCTCTATATATATCTCTATCTATTCCATCGTTGTCTCCATCTCCACCACTTTTCTCCTTCTATATCTCTTCTCCACCACTTTTTTCTCTCTTTTATATATATATTTAGTTATATCCCCATCCCCATCTTCCTCTCTTTTTATATATCTACCACCATATTGTCCATTTCCATCTCCATCACCATCCCCCACTGCTCCAACACCAACGCCCACCAACACCAACGCAACACTCCAACACCAACGCTCCAACAACCAACGCTCCAACAAACCCAACGCGCTCCAACCAACGCTCCAACACCAACGCAACACCAACGCTCCAACACCAACGCTCCAACACAACGCTCCAACAACCAACGCTCCAACCCAACACGCTCCAACACCAACGCTCAACACCAACACGCTCCAACACCAACGCTCCACACCAACGCTCCAACACCAACGCTCCAACAGCCAACAACACCAACGCTCCAACACCACGCTCCAACAACAACTGCCAACGCTCCAACCAACCAACAACGCTCCAACGCTCCAACACCAACGCTCCAACACCAACGCCCAACACCAACGCTCCCCAACCTCCAACACCAACACAAACGCTCCAAACACCAACGCTCCAACAACGCTCCAACACGCTCCAACACCCGCTCCAACACCAACGCTCCAAACCCAACAACACTCCAACACCAACGCTCCAACACCAACGCTCCAACACCAACGCTCCCAACACCAACGCTCCAACACCAACGCTCCAACACCAACGCTCCAACACCACGCTCCAACACCAACGCTCCAACACCAACGCTCCAACACAACTCCAACACCAACACTCAACAACACCAACGCTCCAACACCAACGCTCCAACACCAACGCTCCAACACCACGCTCCAACACCAACGCTCCACACCAACGCTCCAAACCATCGCACCAAAAACGCTCCAACACAAACGCTCCAACACCAACGCTCCAACACCAACGCTCCAATCCACCAACGCTTCAACAACCATCCAACACCAACGCTCCAACCCAACTGCTCCAACACCAACGCTCCAACACCAACGCTCCAACACATAGCTCCAACAACAACGATCCAACACCAACGCTCCAACACCAAACGCTCCAAACACCAACGCTCCAACACCAAACGCTCCAACACCAACGCTCCAACACCAACGCTCCAACACCAACGCTCCAACACCAACGCTCCAACACCAACGCTCCAACACCAACGCTCCAACACCAACGCTCCCAAACACCAACGCTCCAACACCAACGCTCCAACACCAAAGCTCCAACACCAACGCTCCAACACCAACGCTCCAATCCAACACAAACGCTCAACCCAACGCTCCAACACCAACGCTCCAACACCACGCTCCAACAACCAACGCTCCCAACGCTCAACCTCCAACACCAACGCTCCAACACCAACGCTCCAACACAACGCTCCAACACCACCGCTCCAACCCAACGCTCCAACACCAACGCTCCAACACCAACCCAACAACGCTCCAACACACAACGCTCCAACACCCAACGCTCCAACAACCAACGCTCCAACACCAAACGCTCCAACACCAACGCATCCAACCAACGCTCACAACACACCAACGCTCCAACACTCCAACACCAACGCTTCCAACACACCAACGCTCCAACACCAACGCTCCAACACCAAACGCTTCCAACACCAACGCTCCAACACCAACGCCCCCAACACCAACGCTCCACACCAACGCTCCAACAACCAACGCTCCAACACCAACGCTCCAACCACCATCGCTGCCCAACACCAACGCTCCAACACCAACGCTCCAACACCAACGCTCCAACACCAACGCTCCAACACCAACGCTCCAACAACGCTCCAACACCAACGCTCAACACAACGCTCCAACACCCAACGCTCCAACACCAACACCACCACCTCCCTTCAAAGCACATCTCCCTCATCCCTACACACACAACCCTTTCCCGTATTCAAATAAGGTCCATAATGATACACATCACCGAAAAACATTCCGCAAATTCTTTAAACGAAGATAATTTTGCTTGTATAAGTGAGGAAGAAAAAAAAGATGGAAATAAAAATAAAAAAATAAAAACTTGTCATGCCTCTTCTTGTGCCCATACCATCGCCTCTCTCGTTTCATATTCATATCTGTTGTTTAGGGAATTCATTCATAATAAACTTATGCGGATTTAGACGTATGTGATCGTAGACTTATGCTATTGAATACTTGTCCGTATGCCTGTGCGATCTAATACTTTTGCGACTGTGCACTTATCCGATCGTGCGCTTAATGCGAACGAACACTTATGTCATCTTATATTTACGCGAACGGAGACTGGTGCGAACGAACACTTAGGTCATCTTACACTTATGAGAACGAACACTTAGGTCATTCTAACATTATCCGACGAACCTTAAGTCCCTTAACGATCCGAACGAACACTTAAGTCACCTTACGCGTATCCGAACGAACACTTAAGTCACCTTACACGTATCCGAACGAACACTTAAGTCACTTACGTATCGAACGAAACACTATCACGTATCCGAACGAACACTAAGTCACCTTACACGTATCCGAACGAACACTTAAGTCACCTTTATCCGAACGGTCAACCGAACAAACACTTAAGTTAACTTACACGTTCACGAACGAACACTTAAGTCACCTACCGTATCCGAACGAACACTTAAGTCACCTTACACGTATCCGAACGAAACACTTAAGTCACCTTACACGTATCCGAACGAACACAAGTCCCTTACACGTATCCGATTTAAGTCACCTTACACGTATCCGAACGAACACTTAGTCACCTTACACGTTCCGAACGAACATCACCTTACACGTATCCGAACGACAACACTTAAGTCACCTTACACGTATCCGAACGAAACTTAAGTCACCTTACACGTACCGAACGAACACTTAATCACTTACACGTATCGAACGAACACTTAAGTATCACCACTTACACGTATCCGAACGAACACTTAATCACCTTACACGTATCCGAACGAACACTAAAGTCATCTTACACGTATCCGAACGAACACTTAAGTCACCTTACGCGTATCCGAACGAACACTTAAGTCACCTACGCGTATCCGAACGAACACTTAAGTCACCTTACGCGTACCGAACGAACGCTTAGGTCATCCTACACTTATGCGAACGTATATTTATGCGAAAGTAAACCTTTTTCGGACGTACTTAACAAACGGCTCAAAATCAAAAACAATTTCTTAACTTATTCTAAGAATGTATTACTTAACTCTAACTCTTTAACGTTTTTTTTTTTTTTTTTCAAAAAAAGAGTTCCATTGAATGTCACTATATCCTAAAAAAAGAGATGAGAGAGAGAGAGAGAGAGAGAGAGAGAGAGAGAGAGAGAGAGAGAGAGAGAGAGAGAGAGAGAGAGAGAGAGAGAGAGAGAGAGAGTGAGAGAGAGAGAGAGAGAGAGAGAGGATGAGGAGAAAGAGAGAGAGAGAGAGAGAGAGAGAGAGAGGAGAGAGAGAGAGAGAGAGAGAGAGAGAGAGAGAATGAGGAGAGAGAGAGAGGAGAGGAGAGAAAGAGAGAGAGAGAGAGAGAAGAGAGAGAGAGAGAGACAGAGAGAGAGAGAGAGAGAGAGAGAGAGAGAGAGAGAGACAGAGCGAGAGAGAGAGAGAAGAGAGAGAGAAAAAAAAAGAAAGAAAAAAAAGAGACAGGAATGCAGAAGAGTACACGCATCTTAAGACATCCTGGACAGTTCACCCTTTACCCGAAGACGCCCAGCAAAAAAAAAAAAAAAAAAAAAAAAAAAAAAAAAAAAAAAGACGAGAGATATTTCTAAGGTTGATCGCCGATTAAGAATGCCGTAGTAGATTCGCCAGTCGGGAGCGTCCGATGCCAATCATAGTTTCTGGGAAGCGACGCTGAGGATTTCTTTGATCGAATTTGATTTACGGCTCGACTCGACCCGCTTGAACCCTTTCCCCTCCCCCTGCCCCCCCGGCCCCATTCCCCCCCTGCCCTGCTCCCTTCCCCCCCTGTCCTCCTCCCCCCTGCCGCCCCGCTCCCTCTGTCCCTGCCCCGCTCTCCTCTTCCCCTACCCCCCTCCGCTACCACTTCCCCTTTGCCCCTCTCCCCTCTTCCCCTACCCCTCTCCCCTGCTCCTTCCCCCCTGCCCGCTCCCTTCCCCCCTGTCCCCTCCCCTCCCCCCCCCCCCCTGCTCCCCTCTGTCCTGCCCCTTCCCCTCTTCCCCCTACCCGCTCCCGCTACCACTTCCCCTTTGCCCCCCTCCCCTCTTCCCCCCCTCCGGCCCCCTTCTCCCCCTGCCCCGCCCCCTCTCCCCCTTTCCCCCCTTCCCCCTTCCCCCTGCCCCCGTCCCTCTGTCCCCTGCCCCGCTCTCCTCTTCCCCCCTACCCCTCCCGCTACCTTCCCCTTTGGCCCCTCTCCCTCTCCCCTCCTCTCCCCTGCTCCCTTCCCCTACTCCCTTCCCCCCTGCCCCCCTTCCCTTCCCCTGCCCTGCTCCCCCTGCCCCCCCTGCCCCGCTCCCTCTTCCCCCTACCTCCCGCTACCTTCCCCTTGCCCCCCTCTCCTCTTGCCCCTACCCTCTCAACCTGCTCCCTTCCCCCTTGCATCCTACCCCGCTCCCTGCTGCCCCCTGCCCGCTCCCCTCACACCCCTTCCCTCTTCCACCCTGCTCCTTCCCGCCCTGTCCCCCCCCCTACTCCCCCCCCTGCATCCTACCCCACCTCCCCTCTTCCCACCTGCCCCCTCCCCTCCCCCTGCCCAATCATCCCCTCCCTCTTCCTTCCTCCCGCCCCCATCCCCACCCAACCATGCTTCCACCTGGTGGCAAGAATTCCGAGATTCGAAAGCCTCAGCGAAACCTCGGCTTTTTGAACTGGAGCCTTCGCAACGCAAAGGTTAATTTTTTGTGTGTGTAGACTGTATGTACGCTGTACGTGTATGTATAGCGTGTCTACATAAATATATATATATATATATATAATATATATATATATATATATATATATATATATATATATATATATATATTATATACATGTACATATAAATATTTATAGATAGACATATAGACAGATAGATAGAAAGATAGATAGATAAATATAGATATAGATATAGATATACTTATATATATACTTATATATGTATACATATTCATATCTCCCTCTCTCTCTCTCTCTCTCTCTCTCTCTCTCTCTCTCTCTCTCTCTCTATATATATATATATATAATATATATATATATTATATATATGTGTGTGTTGTGTGTGTGTGTGTGTGTGTGTGTGTGTGTGTGTGTGTGTGTGTGTGTGTGTGTGTGTGTGTGTGTGTGTGTGTGTGTGTATGTGTGTATGTTAACATATGTTTGTTGTATAATATATGATATATATTATATATATATATATATATATATATATAATATTTATATATATATATATATATATATATATATATATATATATATATATATATATATATATATATATATATATATACATCTATATCTATATTCTATATCTATCTATCTATCTAACTATCTATCTATCTATCTATACATACATATATATATATAATATATATATATATATATATATATATATATATTATATATATATATATATTATATATATATAAATATATATATATATAATATATATAATAGTATATATATATATATATATATATATTATATTATATTATGTATGTATATATGTATATTGTATATTGTATATGTATGTGTAATGTGTGTGTGTGTGTGTGTGTGTGTGTGTGTGTGTGTGTGTGTGTGTGTGTGTGTGTGTGTGTGTGTGTGTGTATGTGTGTGTGTGTGTGTGTGTGTGTGTGTGTGTGTGTGTGTATTCCTTTCTTCTCCTCATTGCGTATACACGTACATGAGCGAGTCCGCGCAATTTTCCCATATACGATACACTCCAACAAACACACCAGAAAACAACAACATCAACACCATCATCAAGAATCAATAACACCCCCTCCCCCCCCCCCTCCCCTCCCCCCGGGCCCCGAAATCTGCCCTCCCTCGCCGCATACTTGACCTCTGACCCCTCACAACCTCCAGAAAGTCCTATTGCCGTCTTGAGAGCCATCCTTGTCAACCCAAGAAGGAATTGGTTCTTTACGGCTGAACCTCCGGAGTCCCCGCTATTACTCCATTTTACCTGCCCGTCTAATCTATCTCCAAAGGTGGGGGGAAAAGGTCGTTTTTTTTTTCTTTTTTTTTTTCTTTCTTTCTTTTTCAAAGTCTTTCTTTCTTCTGTTGGGAAGGTGTTCAATATGGGAGACGGAGGAATGCGGAGGTTTGGTAAGATTTTTTTTTTTTTTTTTGGGGGGGAGGGGGGTAAAAAAATAAAAATAAATAAATAATTTTTTTTCTACTCCTCCCCCTGAGGTAATGGGGTTTGGAAATTCAAAAAATGATTATATTTTTTTCTATTCTCCCCTAAGGTAATGGGGTTTGGGAGTAAAAAAAATGAATATATTTTGATATAATGACAATAATAACAATGATGATAATGGTAATGATAATAACAATGATGATAATGATAATAATGATAGTAATGATAATAATAATAGTGATAACGATAATGATAATAAGAATAATGATAACAATGGTATAATAACAATGATAATAACAATTGTGTAGCAGTAGTAAAAGCATCCACAATTATAATGATATTGATAATAATAACACTTATTAGAATAATAACAAAATTGATAACAATTATAATAATGATGATAGCAGAAATGGTAATGTTAGTCTCTCTCTCTCTCTCTCTCTCTCTCTCTCTCTCTATGTATCTATCTATCGACCTATTGATCTATCTATCTATGTCTATCTATCCATATATTTCTCTTTCTATCTCTCTCTTTCTCTATCTACCTATCTATCAATCTATCTATCTCTTTACGTATCTATCTATCAATATCCTTATCTCTATTTCTCTCTCTCTCTATCTATCTATCTATATTCATCTATCTATATATTTCTCTTTCTATCTCTCTCTTTCTCTATCCATCTCTCTCTCTCTCTCTCCTTCTCTCTCTCATCTCTCTCCTCCTCACTCTCTTCTCTCTCTCTCTCTCTCTCTCTCTCTCTCTCTCTCTCTCTCTCCTCTCTCTCTCTCTCTCTCTCTCTCTCTCTCTCTCTCTCTCTCTCTCTCTCTCTCTCTCTCTCTTCTCTCTCTCTCTCTCTCTCCTCTCTCTCTCTCTCTCTCTCTCCCTCTCTCTCTCTGTCTCTCTCTCTCTCTCTCTCCTCTCTCTCACTCCTCCCCTCTCTCCCTCTCTCTGTCATCTTCGTCTCTCCTCCTCTCTCTCTCTCTGCACACTTCCTCCTTTTCCTTCCTCTCTCTTCCTCATTCTCTGTCCGGCGATTCCTGAAACCCTCGTGTCATGGCATTCATAAAGATTACCTTAAGAAATGCAAATTTGTTAGAGTGAAGACGACGAAGAAAAAAAAATGTACACGGTCATCTTTGCACGTCAGTCATTGCAACACAGAATGTATGGTGAGTGGCTTCCATTGAGGATCGCAGCTTCCGTGTTGCAGAGGAGAGGTGTGAGGATGAGTAGCGCTTGTTGCATTTTGTTTGTTTGTTTAAATCGTTATACTTTGTTGGGTTGTTTAGTTGTTTTATTCCAAGGGTTTTGTGTGTTTGTGTTGTTGTTGTTGTGTGTGTGTGTATTTGTTTATGCTTTCTCCCTTTCCCTTTCTCATTTTCCTCCACCTTTCCCCTTTCCCTCTCTCCTCTCCCCTTCTATCCTTCCCCTCTCTGACTTTCCCACACCTTCTACTTTCCCTCTTCCTCCCTCTCCTCTCCCCCTTCCTCCACTCCCCCCTTCTTCACCTCCTACCTTCCATCTTTCCCCTTCTTCCTCCCTTACTCTCCTCCTTCCCCTCTCCCCCCCCCCCTTCCTCTCTCACTTACCCCCTACCTTACACCTACCCCACCCCTTCCTCCCTTACTCCTCTTCATCCCCCTTCCCTTCTCCCACCTCCCCCACCATTCCATCTCCCTCCCTTCCCCCTTACCCCCACCCTTCCTCCTTACCCTCTCCCCTTCCTCCCATCCTCCTCCTTCTCATCAGCCCCTTCCCTTCCCATACCCCCCCCTACATGTACTTCACCTCCCTCCCCCCTCCCCTCCTCCTTCTCCATCAGCCCCTTCCCTTCCCCATATCTACCCCCCCAACCTTTCCATGTACTTCACCCCCACCCCTCCTTCCATGTTGTTTCTGTACTTCACCCCCCTCCCCCCTTCCATGTACTTCAACCCCCTCCCCTGCCCTTCCCCTCCCCCCTTCTCCATCAGCCCCTTCCCTCCCCCCCCCTTTCCATGTACTTCACCCCCCCTCCCCTCCCCTCCCCTCCTTCTCCATCAGCCCCCTTCCCTTCCCTATACCACCCCCCCCAACCTTTCCATGTACTCACCCCCCTCCTCCCCCCTTCCATGCCCCTTCCCTTCCCCCCCCCCCCCCCCTTCCATGTACTTCACCCCTCCGGCCCCCCCCCCCCCCTTTCCATGTACTTCACCCCCCCTCCTTCCCCCCCTTCCATGTACTTCACCCCCCTTCCCCCTTCCATGTACTTCACCCCCTCCCCCTCCCCCCTTCCATGTACTTCACCCCTCTTCCCCCTTCCATGTACTTCAACCCCCCCTCCACCCCCCCTTCCATGTACTTCACCCCCCCCCCTCCCCCCTTCCATGTACTTCACCCCCTCCCCCCTCCATGTAATGTACTTCCCCCCCCTCCCCCCCCCCATGTACTTCACCCCCCCTCCCCCTTCCATGTACTGTACTTCACCCCCCTCACATGTAACCCCCCAACATGCAAACGCAAATCATGACAGACGTAGATGGAGTAAACGTACGCACATATTTGTACAATGTCACTTACGCTCCTGTGGCTAAAACATAGGGTGATAGTTGTCAACGTGTTATTGAGGTGTTTGTCATTATTCTTGTTATCTTTTGTCATTTTCTTTCTTTCTATATTCGGGTGGTTGGTTGGATTATTTGGCAATCTTTCACTTTTTTCTGTGTTTTTTTTTTTTTTTTTTGGTTGTATTTTGTTTGACTTTCATTTCCTTTTTTTTTTTTTTTTTTTTTTTTTTTTACTTTTCTTCTTGATTGAAATGTCTTCTTTTTCCTGCGTTTTTATATTGTCGTTTTTATTACAACATTCCTTTCTCTCTTCTGTATTCTCTCTCTTGTTTTCATTTTATGTTTTCCTTTCTTGTGTCTCCTTTTTTTCTTTTTTTCTTTTTTTTTTTTATCTTTCTCATACAATCCTTCTTCCTTCTTTTCCTTTTTTGTTTTATTTATCATACAATCCCTCATTCCTCCTCTCGTTATCTTCAAATCTTTCTTCTTTCCTTCATCTTACAAATTTTCCATCTTTCAATATCTTGCAATCTTTCTTACTTCCTTTATCTCACAACCCTTCCTCCTTCTTCTAATGTCTTCTTTTCGTACAATTCACCTCACAAATTATACCATCAACTTTATACTTCTTTATATTCTCGCTCTAAACGCCATACCGCGCGCTAAACATTATATACGTTGTATCACAAGGTATACGCTGTATTACACCCTGACCGTATACCATTTTCCACACCCCAGTTCGCGCAGGAATTTGATACTTATGAAGTTATCAGCATAAAGTGTCATAGACGTCAGGGTGATTAGTAACACTTTCCTTTCGTGTGGAATCTATTGTTATCATTTTCTTGTCTGTTTAATTTATTTGTCGATTTGTTTGTTTGTTTGTTTGTTTGTTTTCTAAGCCTAAGGTTATGGTTTGATAACGTAACATCATTAGCTGTTATTATGATAATAATGTTATCAACATCATTCTTGTTATCATCATTATGACATTTATCTAATTATTGTAATTAGTTATCAGCAAAAGATATTGATGATATCTTTTGCTGATAACTAATTACAATAATCATCATTATGATCACCACTACTAACACTATCATAATATCAGTCATCACACTAAAAACCGTCATGTCACTACCATTACTATCATAATTATTACTACCCATTAGTATCACTACTACACTTAGCTAACATAATTACACCCCCCCCCTCCCCCCCTCCCCCCCACGACCCAGACATCCAAATGACACGACCAACGGCCCTCGACCCTCGTGGCCTTTCATTGACATGTTCTGAACATGTTTTTCTGACCTTTGGAGCTCGTATAAAACCTGCACGGGCGTGTTGACAAACCACTTATCAATGACAATTCAAATACTAGCGAAATGTGAGCTGAATATATAATTTTCCCTGCGTGCCCCTCCTCCCTCCTCCTCCTCCTCCTCTCCTCTCCTCCTCTCCTCCCTCCTCCTCCCTCCTCCTCCTCCTCCCCCATCCCCTGTCCTCATCCAGTCCTCTCTCTCCCTCTCTTCTCCCCTCTCCCCTCTCCCGGTGTAATTATGCTTCTCGCCTCGTGCCTAGTGCCTGCCCTCTCGATCCGGGCTGAGTGATTAGGAAGAGTGCCGGACGATTGGGGGGAGGAGGGGGAAGAGGGCGGGATTAGGTAGGGGGGCAGGAGATTAGGTGGTGGGGGTGAGGATTAGGAGGTGGGGAGGGGGGCGGGATTAGGTGGTGGGTGATGATTAGGAGGTGGGATGGGGGGAGACGGGGATTAGGTGGTGGGGTGAGGATTAGGAGGTGGGGAGGGGGGGAACGGGATATTAGGAAGTGGGGTGAGGATTAGGAGGTGAGGGGAGGGGGGGACGGGATATTAGGTGGTGGGGGGTGAGGATTAGGAAGTGGAGGGATTAGGGGATAGGGGAGGATTAGTAGGTGGGGGATTAGGGGATTAGGAGGTGGGGAGTAGAGGGAGGAAAGGGGATTAGGGGTGGGACGAAGGATTAGGGGGTAAAGGATTAGGGGGTGGGGATGAGAGAGTATAAGGATGAGGGTAAGAGAACGATAGAAAGGGGATGAGAATAAATGATAAGAAAGAAGGAGAGGAGATAGAGATAATAAAAAAGGAAAAAATAGATCAACGAGGGGGGAGAGAAGGAAGAGACAATATAATAACATAAAGGAAAATAGAGAAACGAGGAAAGGGAATGAAAGGAGGTGAATTCCGGAGAAAAAAGCGATATAAAGAAAAAAAGGAAGAAAGAGAGAATAATTAAGGAAGAGGCAAATAGACTCCTCCCCCTACCCCCCCCCAAAAAAAAACAAAAAAAAACGAACACGAACACGTAGCCAGTCACACCTCATCTCGTAACAACGCTTTCGAACACAAAACGGAAGAGGCCAAAATAACATTGATACTGTGGAGGAATTTTTGGAGAGATAAAAAATAATAATAATAAATAAATAAAAAGGATTAATGAATGATTGGTAGATAGACAGATATGCTGATCTATTGGCTGATTGGTTATTGACTGATTGACTGATAGATAGATAAATAGATAGATAGGTAGATAGATAGATGAATAGGTAATTAGAAAGATAGATAGAGGAATAGGTAGTTAGATAGATAAGTCGATAAATAGATAGATAGATGAATAGGGAGTTAGAAAGATAAATAGAGGAATAGGTAGTTAGACAGATAAATCGATAGATAGATAGATAGATGAATAGGGAGTTATAAATTAGAAAGATAGATAAAGGAATAGGTAATTAGATAGACAGATAAGTCGATAGGTAGATAGATAGATAAAGAGATGAATAGGTAGTTAGATAGATAGACAGACAGGCAATAAAGTAGGTATACGGATAAAGGATAGATAGATGGATAGATAAGCAATTCAACAGTGGGATTCACGAACAGTCAGACAAATTGATAGACAAATAAAATGGCGCATGGAGGGATGGGTGAGATAGAATAGAAGTAGATAGATAGGATAGATAGATAGATAGATAGATAGATAGATAGAGAGATAAGAGGAATAGACAGATTGACTAATAAAGAGATGGATAAGTAGATAAGTGGATAAGTAGATGAATGGGTAGATAGATAGATAACTGGATAGATGGAGAGATGTGAATATGTGAATATCTATATGAATGGATAGAGATGGGTAAAAAATATAAAAATCTGGATAAATAAAATATATATAATATATATATATAATATTATATATATATATATATATATAGATAGATTAATTTAGTGCTACACTGAAAGATGGCGAGATACAAATAGACAGACAGATGAATAGATACATGAAAGATAAAGAGATAATTTGGTGGATAGACAGATGAAGATAAAGCCAAACAAATTAAGGGAATGTGTAATTGTCGAGTTAGGACTGAATAGATAAAGCCATTGTATTTATTATCATAATCATTACATCTTCATTATCATTATGATTATCATTATCTTTATTAACATTTTTATTATTATCATTATTTTCATTATCATTTATCATCATTTTTCATTTTAACATTATTGGGTACAATTATTATCATTATTGATTATTAATTATTGTTCTTGTTGATATTATTATCATTAATGTTACCACTATTACCATCATTATTTTTTCTAATATAATTGTTCTTATCATCACCATCATCACTATCATTATCATCACCATTACCAATATGTATCATTATTATCATTACTATTATTATTTTTGTTGTTATTATCATCATTATCATCATTATCACCATCATCATCATCATAGTTATCTTTGTTTAGTTTATCAGGCGAATGCACTTTGAATTCTACAAAAGATGGAACGAGACAAAATTACTAAGAAAGAAAAAAATAAATACGAAAGGTCAAAATAAAATCTAAAAGCATAAAATCCATTTAATATCAACAGGAAATACACGCACAGTCACAGGAAACACATATATATATATTTTTTTTTTCTAAGCTATGAATCAACATTTTGAAAAACGTACATAAATCCACTCCCTCCCCCCCCCCCTTCCCTCCCTCCTCCCCCTCCCCCCTCCCCCCTCCTCCCCCATGTCCAAATTATTGATGATAAAGATATTGTTTATTGTAGTTAATCCTGAAGGGTTGTTGAGTAAAGAATATTGTAATCTGATTCAGAATTTGTTCTAATGTTGCAAACAAAATTATGATCAGTGTTGGACGAGCGGCAGTAGTATGTATACGTACATGTAGATATACAGACATGCGTACATACGCATTCTTAGGCGGGATGTGGAGTGATCTCAGAACAATAGTGATAGTAATCCTAATAAAGATGATAATGGGGATGATAGTGATAAACATTTATTAACGATAAAAATAGGATAATAATATAGAAATGATGCAACAATAACAATAATAAGGATGATATAATAATGATATAATTAATAATAACAATGATATACAATATGATAATAACAATAATAATGATAATGATAATGATTATGATCATATATAAATAATAATAAGGTAATAACAGTGATAGTGATGATAGTAATTATGATAATGTTAAAGTGATGATGATGATAACAATGCTAATATCAATGATGATAGTAATGATAATAGTAATGGTAATTCTAGTAATAATCACGATAACAATAATGGTAATAGTGATGATATTGATAATAATAATAGCAATAATAACAATAATAATAATAATAATAAAGTAACAATGATGCCAATAATAATTATTATGATAATGGTAATGCTAATGATAATAATAATGATGATAATGATAACAATAATATTATTAATGATAATAATAATAATAATAATAATAATAATAATAATAATAATAATAATAGTAATAATAATAATGATGATGATGATGATGATGATAATCATGATAACAATAGCAGTGATAACGATAATGATGATAATAATAATAATGATAATGATAACATTATTATCATAATCATTATCATTGTTGTTGTTAATGACAATAACATAAATGATATTGATAATAACAATAGTAGTAATAATGATAATCATAAGAAAAAAATAAGATAATTAAGATTAAGAAAAAGACTGAGATTAAGAACAAGAACAAGATTCAGAACAAGCAGAAGGATTAAGAATACGACTAAGAATGTCTGTCTAGTAGTAATGATAATAATAACGTGCAACTATGCTGTATAATACTTATGTATAATAAAGGCATATTTCTTTTTTCTTTTTTTTCGTTTTTTTTTTAGAAATGCGAAGGTATATAAAAGGTATAATGGTTTCTTTTGAACTGTTCTTACTCTCTCTCTCTCTCTCTCTCTCTCTCTCTCTCTCTCTCTCTCTCTCTCATCTTCTCTCTCTCTCTTCTCTCTCTCCTCTCTCTCTCTCTCTCTATCTCTCTCTCTCTCTCTCTCTCTCTCTCTCTCTCTCTCTCTCCTCTCTCTCTCTCTCTCCTCTCTCTCTCTCTCTCTCTCTCTCTCTCTCTTCTCTTCTCTCTCTCTCTCTCTCTCTTCTTCTCTCTCTCTCTCTCTCTCTCTTTCCTGAAAAAAATATTATATTCTCCACTAAAACCATCATCTCTTTACCTCCACAACATGCAGTCGAGTCATATAATTCGAACAAACATATAAAGAAAAATAATAATAACAATAACAAGGAATAAAAATCAAAGAGAATTGAACCCCTTTTCGCTGACATCTGCAAGGAACATCTGTTGATTCCACGCTGCATTAAAAGTTTATGGCACTTATAACGCCAGGATACACGCTTACACCATCGTTCTATGCGATTCGATACTACTTCAAGAGAATCTAATGGTAAGTATCTA